ACACAAGGAAATGAGGATACCACAATCATCACTGGCTCAGCCCTCCTCTTCCAAGTCCCTTCTGTCTTTCATTAGGTCCTCAAGCGATTCCCACACTGTGCTTGCTTCACTCCTTAGCAATCAAATAGCTTCCACCGTGGCTTCTCCCCATCAATCCTGATCTCTTTGGGTAGAATGGTGAGGAAAATCTCCAGTTTTAGCTGTGTTCCTACAACTTTCTGAGTTCAGATCCTTCCTGCAGCCTTGATTTGTGCAAAAGTGATGGTGAGGCACACTGCATTCCTTCCCAAATGCTACTAAAAGTCCCAGGATTAAACATCACTGAAGAGCTGTGCAGCCACAACCTTAGGGCCCCAGGTGTTGCTCAGGGCCCAGGAGAGACGGCAGGTGGGTATTCCATCCCTTCGGCTGCTTTGGGGTGAGGTTGCTTGGTGCTGCCGGGGATTGACTCCTCTGCTGGTCCCCCCGGAGCCTCAGATAGAGCCAAAATCCTACTGCAAACTTGAATGCAAGTGTAAGAATACGAAAAAAACAAACCCATTTTCTCCTGCTATACTCTCACAACACAGAACACTTCTGCGACCCCAAATGTGTACAGTTTTTCCAATTCAATTCAATTCTGACACTGTTTACCTGGAGACAGCATCAGATCCTCAGGTTGAGGGCTCAGTTCCATGAGACTCCAATTCAGATGCTAGTCTTAAGCACAGGTGGTGGCCTGTGCTTCTGACTGACCTGCTATAAATCAGGGTTTCCTTGGGCCCCTCCTCTGGCTCAATTAATTCACTAGAGTGGCTCATGGAACTCAGGGAAATAGATACTTACATATACTACACATTTACACATACTGATTTGTTATAACGGCTACTACAGGCCAGGTGCAGTGGTTTACACTTGTAATCCCAGCACTTTGGGAGACCGAGGCAGGTAGATCGCGATCACCTGAGGTCAGGAGTTCGACACCAGTTTGCTCAACGTGGTGAAACCCTGTCTCTACTAAAAATCAAAATTTAGCTGGCAGGATTGCGGGCCCCTGTAATCCCAGCTACTTGGTAGACTGAGGCAGGAGAATCGCTTGAACCCGGGAGGAGGAGGTTGCAGTGAGAAGAGACTGCACCACTGCACTCCAGCCTGGGTGACGGAGACTCATCTCAAAAAAAAAAAATACATATATATATGTATGTATGTATATATATATAATCTCATTAGCATACAGAAGACACTCTTACACTCCTGAGACTCCAAGGATTTTAGGAGCTATATGCTCAGGAAATAGGGAACAAAATTAAGTATATATTTTACAGTATCAGAGCAACCAGTAGGTACATATGGTCCCAAAGAGCCAGCCTGCCTTTAGCTATAATGTTGAGGCCTCCATTTAGGAATCTTCTTTGGCCTGGCCCAGTGGATCCTACCTGTAATCTTAACACCAGGAGGCCAAAGCAGAAGGATCGCTTGAGGCCAGGAGTTTTCAACACAGTGAGACCTGTTTCTACAAAAAAATTTGAAAATTAGGTAGGCATGGCAGCACATGCCTGTAGTCCCAGCTACATAGGAGGCTGAGGTGGGAGGACCCCTTGAGTCCATGAGGTCGAGGCTGCAGTCAGCTATGCTTGTGCTACTATACTCCAGCCTGGGCAGCAGTGTGAGACCCTGTCACAAAAAAAAAAACAAAAACAAAAGGAAAAGAAAATTTCTTGGCTCTGCGACTTGATGTCAGACATATTTTCAAGAGATTGTACTGCCTCTTCTATCTCCTACCCTTTCACCACGACCAGAGTATTTCTGCTTTTTCTCCTAGTCACATTTTCCTGCTTTGGCTAAGGGAGGTGGCATACTCAGTTCTGGGAATTTGCTGCGTTTTGTTAAATAAAAGTGTGCTTTGTAGTCAGCAGAATTGTTGGTTCATGTGTTGGTCTAAGTTACTGATTTTAAAAGATACACAGTACTGGCAGAGTGGGTTCACATCTGTAATTCCAGCACTTTGGGAGGCCGAGGCAGGTGGATCACAAGGTCAGGAGATCAAGACCATCCTGATCAACATGGTGAATCCCCATCTCTACTAAAAATATAAAAAAATTAGCTAGGTGTGGTGGCACACGCCTTAGTCCCAGCCACTCGGGAGGCAGAGACAGGAGAATTGCTTGAACCCAGGAGGCAGAGAGACTGCAGTGAGCTGAGATCATGCCACTGCACTACAGCCTGGGCAATGGTGCGAGTCTCCATCTAAAGAAAAAAAAAGATACACAGTACTATAACCATAGCATTGGAATTTTCTTAAATATTAAGGACAGGATTGTGTACATGACTCGGACAGGATGTACATGAAACTGGAGGTTAGCTTTTTGTTGGGAATGGAGGGAAAGACACAGCAGATGAGACATCGAAGTAGAGAAGCAAAATATAACAACAAAGATTTTCAGCCTTTGGTCTTTGGATTTTAGGCATTAAATTATATAAAAGTCAGCATAGTTTAAAAGTACATTAAAATGTTACTTTTTAACTTATCATTCTTGGTGTGTTTAACAGTTAGCCTGAATGCCAAGGCTGTTTATTTGGTGACACAGTCATACAATGAAAAAGGTAATTTTTACCTCTAGAGAGATTATTGCAAAGTAATACAACATGGGCTAAATTAGTGAATACAGAATGAGAGCAAAATAATGCAAAGCAATTCCCATCATCCATCCAGTATTTGCATGCTCATTATTATGTCTGGGAACCAGTTAAGAGAACAGTATTTTCACAGCTTTAAGAATTAAATCCATCGTACAGGAGTCAGACACAGAGAGGAGTTCCAAAGCTATTCACATTGCGCCTGGGAAGTCCCATCAATAGTCAGGTGGTTTTCTCCATTTTTTAGCACGCTATACTAGTTAGGAAAAATATTCTAACCTTAGAGAGACCTGGGTTTGTATTCAGGTTCTGACAGTTCCTAGGTGGGTGATCATAGGCAACTTGCTTAACTTCTGTGTACTTATGTGAGTTTCCTCACCTGCAAAATGGGAACTGTAATACCTACATTCCTGGTAATAGCCAAAATAGTTAACAACAGGTACATCTTGGACACCAACCAATCAGAATGGACTCTGGTATTGCCCTTGATGTTGCGAGCACCTGCTGTGCCCAGCGTTAACCCTTTAGCTTCTGAATTTGAGGAGGACAAGGTTGAGGGGTCCCCAGCAGAAGAGTTGGGCAACTGGAGAAACAGGGTGTGGTGTGGAGGATACGTGGGGAACTCAGGGCAGCAGCTCTTCACTGGCCACTGTGGAAGTGTTTCAGTACCTTAACAAGCATTTTAACCATATGGCTGATGTAACTGTAAATAAAATATAGTTGTTGTGAGGATTAAATGATATATGTACGGCACTTAGTTTCTACTAAGCTCAACAAATGGTAGCTATGTAATAGTAATAGTGTCATCCTAGGAATAAAATAATGCCCTCCTTGGGATTATAGAGGATTAAATAAGATAATGTGTTATGTATTTAGTTCAGGGCTTGGCTCCTACTGAGTCTTGGAAAAACAGTAGGAACTATTATTATTCTATTGTTGTTGTTTAATGCCTGGTATGTGGATTAAATTGTATACATTGGATTGATTAAAAGGCCTATCAGGGCCAAGAAAATGTGGGTGTATAGCACAGCTTTTCTAGCTACTAAATAATTACTAAACTCATGTCGTGAGATCAAATCAGATCGGCCGGGCATAGTGGCTCACACCTGTAATCCCAGCACTTTGGAGGCCAAGGCAGGTGAATCACCTGAGGTCGGGAGTTCAAGACCAGCCTGACCAACATGGTGAAACCCCATCTTTAAAAAAAAATAAAAAAAGAAGAAAAAAGAAAAAAGAGATGAAATCAGAGCATGGAAAAATCATATTTAAAAAATAGTGAATAGTTTTTTTGTTTTCTTTTTAGATGGAGTTTCACTCTTGTCGCCCAGGCTGGAGTGCAGTGGTGCCATCTCAACTCACTGCAACATCCACCATCTGGGTTCAAGCAATTCTCCTTCCTCAGCCTCCTGAGTAGCTGGGATTACAAGCACCCACCACCACACCCAGCTAATTTTTGTAATTTTGGTAGAGACAGGGTCTCACCATGTTGGCCAGGATGGTCTTGAACTCCTGACCTCAGGTGATCCTCCCGCCTTGGTCTCCCAAAGTGCTGGGATTACAGGCATGAGCCACCACATCCAGCCAAGTGAATAATTTTAATGAAAACAAAGATTAATTCCTATGAAACAATAATGTGGGAATACACCTAGTTTGTTGTATAGTGAAAAAGAAAATTAAATTAAAAAACATAATTGAATCTGACAAATTATTAGCTATAAAATCCAGAAAAGGCACAATATAAAGGAATTGACAATACAATAAAGTCAATTCTAGCATTCTTGAAGCAATTTGAATCTAGTTACTGATGATTTAAAATTTAATATTTTCACATCTCTGGGACTTTTATTAGAGATAAATAACTTTTTTGTTGAGACAGGGTCTTGCTCTGAGACCCAGACTAGTGTGCAGCGGCACAGTCTCGGCTCACTGAATGATCCTCCCACTTCCATCTCCTGAGTAGCTAGGACTACAGTTTAGCACCACCAAACCCAGCTAATTTTTTGGATAGATAATATTTTTCACCAAATTAAGAAGTAGGAATAACTTTTCCTTACTAAAATATATCAGCTCAAATCTTGAGTCTTCAAAAAGCTTTGTTATATTATTCAATGTAATCCTTTCTCAGACCAAAGGTATACAATAAAATATGAAGTTACTATTTTTAAATCATTTGCTTATTTTTTTAAAGTAAACATTCAAAACAGGATAGTTTAATAGATTTGGGGTTTGTGGGTTTTGAGCCTCTATTGTTTCTTGGCCCTCAAATCAATTATTACCAAATTGCTATCTCATTTTACCAAGACCTTAAAGTCTCCAGTGAATATTTAGTGGTCAAGTGGTTTGGAAAATGTGGTTGAGATGGAGTGAAAGTCTATTGAACTTACCTACAAATGAAATTAACATTTTTTTCCTTAGGAGCTTTATTTCAGGCATGATAGTAAAGGTCAACAGATGGGTTTTTAATCCATAATCCTCACCGTCATTATGAAGGAGGTATGTCTGAGGGAATCTACCACCAAAAGAAGCACAGAGCCAGAAGTAAGGGTCTCACTTTTTTATTCAAAGATATTTTTCCACATTTGAATAGTAAACTCAAAGCTAATTTGCATTACCAACCAATCAATATTGTACCACAAGTTCTTTTACAGCTTCAAGAGGATTTTTTTCCACTCAAGTAAGCCTGAGAGAACAAAGGTTGCTATTCGCATAAACTGTTTGGACAGATTTTTAAAAATTGTGCTTACAGTAATCAGATTGTACACCATTATTAATTAGTTGTGCATATATAATTTTCTGGCTTCTGTTGATCTATCAGCTTTCAAAAGGCTCAGTCTACCTGAATGATGAAATAAAGACAATTGCTTGCAGAGGAGGGAAACTGAAACCAACTGGGGATAAAGATAATAAAGATAGGTAAGAGCAAGCTGTTGAAGATCTGCTGTCATCCACAGAGATAACATTTTGTTGGAGAGAGAAACATAAAGAAGTAACAGACTTTGAGACTCCCCTCACTGTATGTTCACGAGAGATGTCTTTCATTCCACAAGTATTTTCTTTGAACACCATATTGAGGTCTCATTTATTAATAACTAAACTTGTTATGAACCAAGCTTCTGTGTTAGTTACAAGAATGTATAGTGTTTAATAGTGTGATTATTGAGTCACAAAATGCAGCTTTCTTTTCATTTTTTAATTAATTAATTTTTTTTGAGATGGAGTCTTGCTCTGTCGCCAGGCTGGAGTGCCGTGACGTGATCTCGGCTCACTGCAACCTCCACCTCCCGGGTTCAAGCAATTCTCTTGCCTCAGCCTCCCGAGTAGCTGGGACTACAGGCATGCGCCACCATGCCCAGCTAATTTTTGTATTTTTAGTAGAGATGGGGTTTCACCATGTTGGCCAGGATGGTCTTGATCTCTTGACTTTGTGATCCTCCCGCCTTGGCCTTCCAAAGTGCTGGGATGACAGGCATGAGCCACCACACCTGGTCTATTTTTTATTTTTTGTAGAGATGAGGTTTCACTAGGTTGTCCAGGCTGGTCTCAAAGTCCTGGTCTCAAGCCATCCTCCCCCCTTGGCCTTCCGATGTGCTGGGATTACAGGCATGAGCCACACTAGGCCTAGCCAAAACTGCAGCTTTCAATAAACAGCCAGATCTAACAAGTATACTTTCATTCTCAGTCTAACATTTAATCAACAGAAAATTGAGTCAGATGAGGAAAAAAGGAGTTAAAGAGCAGGCTGTACTGTATATGCTTACCCTCTGATATAGAGGATGGCTTCAAAAATTGTTATTACATAAAATATTAATATAAAAATTAATACTACTGCATCAAAGTTATGTTAAAATAGATGATCAGTAACAGCAAATGCCCCACTTTGAAGAATGTACGTACTTCCTGTCATTTTCCCAGGTTGGATTCACTGGTACATTTCCCTGGGCTCTAACCCAAGGGTCAGGGAGATGCTAGAAACTGGAATTCTGGGAAAGGGCTGAGCAGGGCAAGAGGAGGAAGGAAATCCAGGAAGATGAGACTTCTGAATGTCAGCTGGAGACTAATTCCATCCATATGTTCTAGAAAAAGCCCCACTGAAAACTGTTAAGCCTCTGATGTATCCATGAACTGGCCTCAAATAAAAATAGGCTCTTTCTGATAGTAGACTAGCAAGCCCACCCAAATGCTGGGGAGCATAAGAACATGTCTGGGGATTAGAACTGGAGCACTTATTTCAGGGAGGCTAGTGGGACAGTATCGGTGCTGCAAACTAAGGATTTTATCAGAGTTTTAATAGCAACTTGATGAAACACAACAGATGGCGTTGAAAATAAGAACGGTGGCTGCAACCTAAAAACTGGCATCTCTCTCAACCGACTGCCGAATTCATTCACGCAGGAGAAAGGCTGAGTTCTCGTCTGACATATCAAAATCCAACAAAGCAAAAACAAAATGTCATTCAGAATTCTAAGGCAACCCTGTGGAACTCTCACACTCAACGAAGTTACCGTTAATTATTCATACTCAGTGGAACTAAAACCTATTAGAATTCACACACATTATTATATTACTCAAGGTTAAACGATGGTTACGTCTTTCTGTACATGTAGATAAATAAAAACAACATCTATAAAATAATACAGAGGAAGGCATGTACATATATTTTTAAGTGTAAAAAACTGTTTACCTTTTCTATCATGATTGAGGGTTTTTCCCCTCCTTTTTCCACAGTGATGGGGGAAAGTCAGAGTGATACATCTAACAGTAATCTTCTCTCCTTTGCAATGATGATACTGATCCACCATCATATGACTGAATTGACTTCCCCGTCATGCTGTTGATTCCATTGAATAACTGTGGATAAAAATCAAGCAAGCTAAGTAACAACCCACTACCCTCCCCCATCTTCCCCTCTCTGCACAGCATACAGATACATAAATTTGTGCATACACACACACTGACAACACCACTCCTGCTTTGTGTAGATGAGATGCAATCTTCTGCAGACAGGATGTTTCTTCATGCAAGGACACTGGGTGTGTATATGCTGATTAGCAAGAGGTATTGCTCCATCCAGAAAAGTTACCACGTCTCCGTTGAATGATCTGGTCAGTGAACAAGGAAGTCTTAAATGGGAGCTGACAAAACCAACATTTTCTGAACTTTATTTTTTACAACCGTTTTGACTCCATGTATCTGTGATTTCCAACACAGGTATAATCAGTACCTTTTTGAATACTCTGACCTACAATATTTTTATTATACTCAAGATGGCAGACATAAAATTGTGCTGCTGTTAATAACCTAATTCTGAAGCAGTACCCCAGGTCTTAAACTATGAACACCTTGAAGGTAATACCTATGGGACGATGCACTCAGGCACCTAGGACAACGGCTAGTGTTTGCTAAATGCTTAGCAAATATTTGTTGAATAACTGAATGGTGGCAGAAAAGGTGATGGTGAAGAGAGAGGTTCAGAATAGGAGAGAACTTAGTATGATTTTATGAATGGGCCATTTAGAACTGTCAGCAATTGACTGTAGTGACACATGATGTTGAATTTCACTAGGAATTATCTACAGGATACCAATTTTCCTCACCAGAATAGCAATATTAAATAGTCTGTGAAGTCTTTGGTGGAATCAGTATTGTATAGGAAACACCTCACACTTCATTTGATCTTTTCAACTAGTAAGTGATCTTCTTTTATCCCTTTTTTACTCATAAAAGACCAATTTGTCATTGATGTCTACAAAATTCCCTGATTCTTCACTGATCACTTAAAAGCCGTTTTGTGTTTTTTTTTTTGTCTTTTGTGGGTATTTTTTTTTTTTTTTTTTTTTGAGATGGTGTCTCCCTCTGTCACCCAGGCCGGAGTACAGTAGTGCAATCTTGCTTATTACCACCTCCACCTCCCAGATCCAAGTGATTCTCCTGCCTCAGCCTCCTGAGTAGCTGGGATTACAGGTACCAGCCACCATGCCCAGCTAATTTTTGTATTTTTAGTAGAGATGGGGTTTCACTACGTTGGCCCCGCTGGTCTTGAACTGACCTCAAGTGATCTGCCTGCCTCAGCCTCCCAAGGGGCTGAGTCACCAAACCCAGCCATAAAAGTTGTTTGTTCTTTGTAGAACAGCTGGTCACACATATACTTGAGCTCTTGATGAATTTCACAAACTGAGTCTTTACCCTCCAGAACAGTCTCATGGGGAAGACAGACATTAAAGAGGTTACAGCAAACAGTTACATGATGACCAGTGTGCTAAGTACTTGGAGAGATACTGGATACTGTGGCAATTCTAATCTCTTGAACAACTAGCCACTTTCTTCCTGCTTCCCATACAGCAGTCTCTTTGAATTAGTATTTCTCAATTCTCCACTTCCAACCCATGCTACTTCTTGCAACCTTAAAGAACAGTGCGTTATTTCTCTTGGATTCCGCAAATTTCCTTCCTGCTTACATTTTTTTCCCCTCTTTTCACACCCTGCCTTACCTGGCTTCAGCCTTCACTCATCATTTTGTTTCTTTCCTGTCAATCTCCTACTCAAATTACATGGATAGTCATCATAAAATAGTGAAAATATACATGTATTATGGTGGAAGTAAGGAAATTGAATAATCTTCAGGTTCGATTATTTTAAGCTCACTACCTAATTTTAAAATTAAACTTTGTGGCATTATCATGAATATTTATGTCTTATATTTTCCTTTATTTCTTCTATTCAAAAAACATGAAAGGTAGCTTAAACAATATATCCAGTATAATAAGATATAAAGGAAGTGGAGTAACCAATCAGAAAGAAAACAAAAAACTAAGAATAGACAAAATAAGAACTTGGGATAAAAGTAATTCACAAAACGTACACCATAGGCCTGGGCACTTGCTAAAAGTAAGCCTCTGAATTTTTAAACAACCAACACAATGAAAGGAAGCACACTTGATTATATTATTCAAAATGCCCACAAGATTATATAAGTAATTGCTCAAGGAAAGCAGTTTGCCAGGTGCAGTGACTCACGCCTGTAATCCTAGTACTTTGGGAGGCTGAGGCAGGTGGATTGCTTTAGCTCAAGAGTTCGAGACCAGCCTGGGCAACATCGTAAAACCCCATTTCTACAAAAAATACAAAAATTCGCTGAATGTGGTGGTGCATGCCTGTAATCCTGACTACCTGGGAGGTTGAGGTGGGAGAATTGCTTGAACCCGGGAGGCGGAGGTTGCAGTGAGCCAAGATTGTACCACTGCACTCTAGCATGGGCGACAGAGTGAAACCTGTCTCAAAAAAAAAAAAAAAAAAAGGCAGTTATTTGAGGCACTAAATTTCTGCAGGCTCCTGTTAAGAAAACACAATGTGATAATTTAGCACGTTCTCAGGTGCATCTCTGCAGTAAAAACAGTCAGTCACAGCGTTCCTGAGCCTGCGTCTCCTACAGTCCCTAGACTTAGGGTATTTGTGTGATCCTAAACAGCAGTCAGTAAAAATAATCATAGGAGGAATTAAAAGAAGACTATCCAAAAAAAAGAGAGTGTTCTTTTGTTTTTTCTTTTAATCTAAAGATAAAAATTAGATCACCCAAATACAGTGCAGATTTCAGGAAATCCTAAGTGTTACTTCTCCCCGACTCAGCATTTCTGAAAATATCCAAAAAGCAGAGTCATGTCAACAATTTAGAGCATATTCATTTGCATTAGAAGTCATCGGAACCAGGAATAGGGTTAATGCTGTGTTATCAAAATTAAGGAAACAGAGGAAATATTTGTCAGGGAAGCCAAGATTTTCCTCAGAAAACAATTTTGAACCTATTCTAATAAAATATAAGGGCAATGTAACGCCACAGATTTTTGCCATTGAACACAACTTGTGGATGATTAGCCCAGAAAATCTATGAAGCAGCTGTTAGCAAACACCTACCTAATGCAGTCATTTTAATCAGAAAAAACAAAAAAACCACTCATAAACTATCTAACCTCAGCCAGGCGCAGTGGCTCATGTCTGTAATCCTAGCACTTTGGGAAGCCAAGACAGGCAGATCACGAGGTCGGGAGTTCAAGACCAGCCTGACCAACATGGTGAAACCCCATCTCTACTAAAAATACAACAATTAGCCAGGCGTAGTGGCGCATTTCTCTAATCCCAGCTACTCAGGAGGCTGAGGCAGGAGAATCGCTTGAACCAGGGAGGCGGAGGTTGCAGTGGGCTGAGGTGGCTCCACTGCATTCCAGCCTGGGTGACAGAGCAAGACTCCATCTCAAAAAAAAAAAAAAAAAAAAAATCTAACCTCAAGAAATGAAACCTGTGACATCTATAAGAAACAATTATAAAACAAATGCCTCCTAGCTGGCTACACGATTTGATCTACGGTGCAGCACAGGTAACTGAAAAGTTAGTTAAGCACTGGAGACTGTCAGAACAGTAACAGTTTTAGCAATTTTAGTTTTGCTGCAGCTGATGTGAGGCCACCAATATTTCTGTCAGTAATTCAGTCAGAAGCCACTTGTCTATTAACTTCCTTCCCTCCTTAAGCCAAAAACATATACAAAAAAGTTCATTCATTTTTCCCTATTGTATCTTTTACAAGATATTTTAAAATATCTTTTACAAGAATCCCATATCCAGCTCATCCAAAGATAGTATCAAGTTATTAAAAGGCAACTTAAAAATAAGGAAGAGGGAAAGTACAAAAGGTATTTATGTTTTGTGTACTTTCTCATCTTTCAAAAAAGTGATCATTTTTGTGAATTCTAATTCTGACACTGGCTTTGTGTATCAATTCTGTGTAAGCCTAAGTAGCCAAAAAAGAAAACCGAATTCATGTAACTTTGCCCCCTATCTGTTTGAGAAGTTTTCAAGAAAAGATGCAAATTGTAATGAGATGTTTCTAATGAAATACTTCACAAGGTGATAAACTATATAATCCTGATCAGTACTAGAAAAGTTTGCTTAAAGTCTGTTCTTTCTTTGCCTAAAGTCTGGTCTGCAAATCCTGAAATGATAATCAGAACGAAACTGCTTTTTCAGTGGAATAATTTGCAATCTAGTACTAGATTTATGATTTTGAGGAGTAAAAAGTTATCCTTTTTAAAAAAATGAGACCAGATTCTAGGACCCACCTGATAGCTCCATCACTACAGAAATAATTAGGGCTCCGGGTACAGTGGCTCATGCCTGTAATCCCAGCACTTTGGAAGGCCAAGGTGGGCAGATCACAAGGTCAGGAGATCGAGACCATCCTGGCCATGGTGAAACCCTGTCTATACTAAAAACACAAAAATTAGCCCAGCATGGTGGCACCCACCTGTAATCCCAGCTACTCAGGAGGCTGAGGCAGGAGAATCACTTGAAGCTGGGAGGCAGAGGTTGCAGTGAGCCGAAACTGTGCCACTGCACTCCAGCCTGGGTGACAGAGCAAGACTCTGTCCCAATAATAATAATAAGAGCAATAGATTGGCAAGGCTGTGTCCTCCAAGCAGACTGACCCTTGAAGAGTTCAGAGCGACACAAAAGGAAGTACCCTGGGTCTGAAGGATGGTGACCACTGCTCTTACTGCATAGCTTGGGATCCACTAAAGTTATTCAGTATGCTTGGCTCTATATCACTGGGATTTTTTTTTCTTATCAGTCACTGGTTTTATTAGCTCATTTTCCATTTATTGAGTACTCCTTAGATGCTGTGGGTACCAAAATGAATGACCACAAATGTCAACCTTAACAAGATTGTAGTCTGTGCTTCCTATTGATGGTCCAATATGTTCTCATCAAGAAAAATAGCTCTCTGTTTTGTCTGTGTTATAGCTGAGAGGATTGTACCTAACTAGGAGATGTTTTTCTCTTGGGAGCAAACATGTCTCACAGTATAACTAGCACAGAATTACAGTAACAAGTTTACTCAACAGTAAGAACCATATTTACCATTTATTCAGTGGTTGTTACGAGATGCTGGTAAACGTATTGCTGGAACAGCTTGTTTCCAGTTTTCTTGCAGCACAGCACGGCTTCCTATAACTGTTTGCTACTTCTGGTTCCTTGCCAGCCCAGCACTTTCCAACTTAATGTTTCACTCTAGCAATAACTTCCTAACTGACCTTCCTTCTCTCTCCAACCTATCACATACAATGTCTACAGACTAATACTCTGATTTCATCCTGCCATTAACCGGATCAGAAAATTCCAGAGATTGCCCATTTCCTGTAAACTCTTATGACTAGACAGAAACTCTCCCCATGCTATGCCTCTCCTTACTTATCCAGTTCCACCTCTTGAACTCCCGACCTCAGGTGATCCGCCCGCCTTGGCCTCCAAAGTGCTTGGATTACAGGCATGAGCCACCATGCGTGGCCTCCAACCCACCTCTTACTACTCCAAGTTGGTTGTACCTCAAACATCTTGAGCTTTCTTGACTCTCTATTTGCTCCTGCAGTTCTTCCTGTTGGAAAGACTTTCCCTCCTACCTTCATATTGCCACTTCAAGCTCAGCTTAAATTCAGCTCCTTGCTTCTGAAACCTTCCCCAATTGCTATTGCTCACATCAATTTTCCGAAATTAGTGTCTACTGTAGTACAGTTCTTTAGGACTTAATCCCATACCGACTTGGGTTGTTATTTAAGTGATTCCCCTTGCAACTTCTTTTTCCAACGAGATTTTAAACTACCCAGAGAAAAGAGGCTCACTTTAAAAGCTGCCTGTATGCCGGGCGCGGTGGCTCAAGCCTGTAATCCCAGCACGTTGGGAGGCCGAGGCGGGTGGATCACGAGGTCAAGAGATCCAGACCATCCCGGTCAACATGGTGAAACCCCGTCTCTACTAAAACTACAAAAAATTAGCTGGGCATGGTGGCGCGTGCCTGTAATCCCGGCTACTCGGGAGGCTGAGGCAGAATTGCCTGAACCGAGGAGGCAGAGGTTGCAGTGAGCCGAGATTGCGCCATTGCACTCCAGCCTGGGAAACGAGCGAAACTCCGTCGCAAAAAAAAAAAAAAAAATTGCCTGTGTCTCCTCCTAGTTTTAGGCAGTTGTTATGCATACATCTGATGCTCAATACATGTAAGAAATAGTTGTACAATGAATGAATGACCACTGACTCGAAGCATGTTTTGCCCCCTCTTTCCTTTATAGCTGGTGCCTGCCTTCTTAAGTCCTTAAGTCCTGTGTTTATCCATCTCAATGTTTTTCAAACCTTCTAACCATAACCAATAGGAAGAAATTGCTTTTATATTGTGACCTGATGTACTTGTGTATGAAAACGCTACAAAATACAGGTAAGTACTTACTCTGTGCAATGTATTCTGATGCTTTCTATTCTATTTTTTAAAATACAGATCATGATACACTAAACTGATTTCACCACCACCAAGGGATTATAATTATAGTATTGTTGGGGCTCAGAAATTGAATACCTTAGCTTGAGCTTGGCTATAATGAGTACATTTTAAGCAATCCTGCCAACTCCATTTTACCCACCCTGAGCTATGTTTGCCCACCCTGAGTTATGTAGGGCATTCTGTTCTGAAAGCTTGTGGTCTGAGACCCCTGGCATCTTTTGTAACCAATTTTCTGAGAACCAGAGCCCACCGGCCCTGCACATCCTGCATCTGTCACCATGTAACTGCTACCCCACATCCTGAGTAAAAAAACAATTTTAAGTAGAACTTTTTGTTAGGCCCCCCCCCTTCTCCCCTAAACTGCTCCTTCTGTTTCTGTAATAATATGCTTACCGCCCCCTTATCCTAAACTGGTATAAAAATGTGGACCGCCCTTTGTTCTTGGCTGAGGGGTTTGAGCTCCAGCTGACTCTCGGATGCTGGCATAAAGATGGACTCAACAAATTCACTGCGTGGCGCTTCTGTCTAAACTCGCTCAGGTATAACAAAATCAGTATCCCAAAGATAGTGTTTTGACATGCTTTACTGAAGAAGCCTAAAAACCTCTCTGGCCTCCCCTCTTTGCCCCACCATCTCTCCAAAGCACATGACGAAGCTGAAGTTCCTTTATCTGCACAAGATCTGGACCCACCAAAAGGAACAATTGTTTTTCCTTCCCCTTCCTGTAAGACCAAGAATGTAACTACACCTAAATAGATCCTTTGACAAAATAACATACAAGTTAATCTCTGTTCCCTGATCCATTCATCTTCCCTAATAACTTCCTCAACAGAATTCCTCTTCTCCCCACTCTCATAACCTATTTTGCCAGGATGGTATACAAGCTTGTGAACCACATGAGGGGGCTGGCAATCACTCTATGATTCTCCTCATGTGCACACTAAATTTATGTGCCTTTTCTCTAATTAATCTGCCTTTCGCAAGTCAATTTTTTGGCAAATCTTTGGAGGGCCAATGGGAAAGCTTTCCCTTGACCCCTACAGTATAAAAACTGTCTCCTTGGCTGGGCAGGGTGGCGCATGCCTGTAATCCCAGCACTTTAGGAGGCCAAGGCGGGCAGACCACTAGGTCAGGAGTTCGAGACAGCCTGACCAACATAGTGAAACCTCATTTCTACTGAAACCAGAAAAATTATTTGGGCATAGTGGTGCATGCCTGTAATCCCAGCTACTCAGGAGGCTGAGGCAGGAGAATCGCTAAAGCTCCAGAAGCGGAGGGAGGTTGCAGTGAGCCGAGATCATACCACTGCACTCCAGTCTGGGTGACAGAGTGAGACTGTGTCTCAAAAACAAAAAACAAAAAGGCAGTCTCCTAGCTTATGCTCTTTGTATTAACTTGAGGTGTATAGGACTGCTCTTGTATAATGCTTAAAATACTACTTGTGCTGCTCATTCTGTTCCTGACAGTTTGAGCTTCAATTTGATCATTAAATATTTAACTTGAGATTACTTCTTACTATATTCCATCAGAGCACTAGAAATCAACCCCTTCCCCCAACTTCTTCCTTTTGAAATTTGGGGCACAATTAAATCATGATACAAAGTGTTCTCCAGATTGCTATGACTTATGTTATCTTGAAGAATTTTAGTGGCATATAAGTAAAAATTTCCAGGCCGAATTTGTGATCAGATCATTTGCAAATGAATAAAAGTAGGCATGGCCATATTTTTGTTTCTTGACATAGCTTAAGAGCATGAGCATCACTGCTTAACAATCCAGAAGCTGAACCCCAGCTTTGCCAAATTAGTGTGAACCTCCATTTCTGCGTCTATATAAAATAGGAATAATCATACTTACTTCAAGGGATGGACTGGAGTTAAATTACAGCATACAAGTAAAGAACCTGATACAGGACCTGGGTGCTCCATGAATGGACCAGTGCTCCATGAATGGTAGTGAGGTTTTATTACTAAATGTATCTCAAACTTCCTTTTAGGGTCATAAAGTATGGTTTAGTCATAAGAATAAAAGATGACTTTTCAAAGATCTAGTATTTTTTGAAGTTGGATGACTTATAATATAAAATTTCATGTTGGTTTTATAGATCATAAGTATCCCCAAAGAAAGGTTCTATTTGTGGTGCTGGATAAGCATTATATAATAAGAAATGTCTACTGAAACTAGAAGATTCAGGATCATATGCAGCAACTTACCTAGTCAAGCAAATTTCATTTGGATTTGTTCTTGCTTAATTATTTTTTTAAAACCACAAACGTCTATTGGTGAAGTGTGCTTTAATTTAGCAAAAACACAGCACTCAATACATACATATAACGCAGTATGTATATGGGGCTGCTTTTAACGCCAAACCTTTAACGTCAAAGCCTTGTTCCAGTTGCTTGTATATTCCTTCTGAGTTTGTCATCCCCACACTTATTTAACCTAGGTCAAGTTACTTCTAAGGGTGTTTTTTTATTGCAGAAGTTTGGCAGTTAACAGCGATGAGCTGCCTTTTTACAAATCACCCTCCCCTGATCCTGTCCGATTTAGCACACAAGACAGAATATCTCATCCATTCTCCTAGAAACATGGGTCCACGGTGTCCCAGGCTCAGGGCAGTTGCATTGCTTTCAAATCACTTAAGGGGTGTCATCAAGATTTCCCTAGCCCCGTCTCGTCTCCGCCGTCTGCTAAAGAGGAGGCCTGACAACTTGATGGAACCCAAACTGGGACCTCTGGAGATTAACTTTCAGTCACATACTGAAAGCACATTCAAGATGGTGCGTGTGCGTGTCAGGAGACGCGTGGACCAAAGACGCCAGAGAGCCCGAAACGGACCCGCAACAGGAGGCAGAGACAGAGGAATCGGCCCCACGCTGCAGGCTCGGAGACGGCCAGACCCACACACACGACTTAATCCCACCCCAGAACCCGGAGGAAGGTGGCAGCGGACAGAAACAGCGTTCGGGAACCCGGCACCTTTCCGCGCTCGCTTCTTCCCTGACCTTCAACGCAGACCCCCGCTCGGAACGGCGGCGAGACGCGCCCAGCCCCCAGGGTCCGCGCAGCCGCTTTCGTCACGTCCGGGGGCGGGCCGGGGCGCCGGGGGCGGGCCCGGGTGGGGCCCGGGGCCGGGGGCCGAGCCGGGCGGGGGTGGGGTTGCCGGGGTGCTTGTGTGACAATAATGAAGGTGGCTGCGGCGCGGCGGGAGGCTCAGCTGCGCCGGGCGGGGGCGGCGCCGGGGCCGCGCCTGTAGGACTCGGGGCCGGCGCCGCGGGATGGGGACGCGGCGCGGGGAGTGAGGCGGTGGCGGCCGCAAGCGGAACTTCGGCCCGAGGGACTCGCCCGCTCCAGCCTGTGTCTGGTCGGCCTCCACCTGCAGCCCCGCGGCCCCCGCGCCCCGCGGGACCGGGACGGCGACGACGGGGGAATGTGGCGCTGGGTCCGGCAGCAGCTGGTAGGTGCCCCCCTTCCTTCCACCCCCTTCGTCCGCCTCCGCGCGGCCTGTCAGCGCGGGGTGGCGGGGACAGGCCGGCGCCGCCGAGCGGGGAGGCCAGAGCGCGGGCGCCCGGCTAGGCCGCGGCGGGGACGGGCGCGGGGCCCAGAGCCGGAGAAGCCCCGTGCAGCCCCGCGCTCGTCTCGCCTCCAAGCCCGGGCCGCCGAGGTTGGCGGGAGGCGGCCGCTTCCTCCCGGAGCTTCTCCGTTACTTCCTCCCCCAGCCGCTCCGGGGCGGCTGTGACCAGAGGCGGGAGTCCCGAGCTGGGTGGCGGCGCCCCCTGAGGAAACGGGGCGCGAGAGCTGAGCGGGAGGAGGGCAGTGGGGGAGGAGAGAGGTGCGCGCTTCCTACCTTGCACGATTCGGGACGTGTTTGGGTGAAGGGGAGAGAAGAACCTGCCTTCTGCCCCCGCTTGTCACGGACTTCGGGAAGCGGGTCACGATTCTGAGCTGGGTTGATTCCTGGAGAGGAGGCGGCCTCAGCTAAGTGACTGTAACCCCCTCGGCGACAGACATGTCTCCCCCCGGCCTGGAAACGGGAGAGGAGGACCGTCCGGGTGCAGCTTCGGAAACGAAACTTAGATAATTATGAATGCTACTTGTTGGGGTTTTCTTCCGACCTCATCCTCACCCCACCCCGGTGAAACTTTTCCAGTGGGAACCTTTTTTCCCCTTCTCCTCGAGGTACTTTGAACGAGACAGGTTTGGAAGGAATAGTTAACTTTCCAGTATTACTGGAACATCTGGACACCAGCAACAAAACATCTTAGAAAAGAGTGATTTAAGGCCTTTGAAAAGTACCACCGAAAATTTCCCAGAATTAATTCAGTGAGAAAAATCTTCCCTGCCTCCTTGCAGCTGCGGCGCGGAAATTACAACACTGAGGCAGCTGTGACAATTAGGACTGAAATTGCTCCTGGCTGGAGAAGCCTAACCTTATCTGTGTGATGAGGCGGGCTACTATTTAATTTCTAAGTCGCATTAACTTAATGCTTCTACAATGCAGTGTTTTCATGTACTCATTCTAAAGGCAGTGGTAACATTTAGTGAAGAAGAAACTGTGGGACGAAAGCACTGATACCTCTTTTTCCCTTCTGCTCTAGGAAAGCATTTTAACATTAAGACTAGGCAGAATGGGATTTCAGAGCCAGTCTTGTGTTACTTCGTTTTGCAACGGGCATCATTCTCAGAAAAAAAAAAAAAAAAAAAAAAAAAAAAAAAAAAATATATATATATATATATATATATATATATATATATATATATATTTAGAGAGAAAGAGAACGAGAACTGCCTACCGCTCTCTCCTACAAATGTGGGCTATTTTTAGCCTTGTAAATTCAGATACCCCAGATACCTGCTTTCTTAGGAAACCAAGCTAATGACGTCATTAGAATACCAGCTTGTTGTAATACTTCGGCTTTGTTGCAGTAAACCGTAGCACGGTCATTTTACTCGGAAGTTAATTGTTACAGATCTGCCTTATGCTTTTGCTTTGCCAAATCTGCATGTGTAGAAGGCTGATTTACCTGATGGTGTTTTGTGTGGTAGGAAGATCATTTTGAAGTGGTTCTCTTAGAGCTTTTAAAAATAGATTGAGACATCCTTTCTCACTGTTAAGGTATTTTTTAGCCAGAATAAAATCCTGGTTGTATAACCACGCTCATCTTCAGGACAGAAAATCTGGTAATGTTTTTTAAAATGGCTTCAAATGAACACAGCTGAAAGGAAGGGCCGGAAGTTGTATGTGGTTGTTTTACAAGGCAGCCGTCTTACAGGATGGTTGACGAGTTGAACAAGTTGCTGTGCTTAAAAAATGCTGCCTCTGACATTTAGCTGCTCACCTCACTGGTTTTAAGTTATCAGATCCTCTAAGTACGTAATCATACCTGGGCCAGTGTAGGACTTTGTGTCTCTGGTCATGTAAATTAAATATCAAGGACAGTTGATACAGAGTAATGAAAATATATTTTACTATACTAGGAGTTATTCAACTCAGGAAAAATCTAGTTTAGATTATACTTCTGTTGGCTCAGTGGATTGAATCAACATGACTTTTAGCAATGGGTTTATTTTAAAATTCAGATAAATAGGATACATTTGGGGAGATTGACAAGCAAATCCTAAGGTCAGGTTGGAGTTATAAGCATACTTAATTTGTTATATGAATTCTGATTTCCAACTAATGTCTCACAAAAAAAGTTGTCGTTTTATTACAGAAACAACGCCTATGCTCTAGTAATTTCTTTTTAATTAAAAAAAGTGCGACTTCTTATCACAACAAAGCATTTTCACTATTTGAGAAGATGGAAAAAATCGGAAGGTTGACAGAAGCTTGATCTTTTCTATAGGGAAAGTAAACAAAATGAAAATATTGGAATAGCCATTTCTTTTTTGTTCTTTGATTTTTAGCACACAATGTTAAAGTTATTTTACACTAAAAAAAATTCTCTTGTGGTGTCTTCGTGGTACAGTTAGTATTCAAAGTGTTCACATTTTCAGTACCGTATTTTATGTCTTAACTCATTAGAGATGACAACACCTTGATTATAATTGTGGAAATGCCGTTAGCTATTCATTGTATTCTAATATTTAGACCTGTTCAGTAGCCATTAGTCACATGTGGTCATTAAAATTAAAATTTGAACCACATGTGGCTATTAAAATTCGAATTCATGTGTCTGTTGGCTGCCATTGGCTATCAGATTAGTTCATATTATCATTGTCACAGAAAATTCTATCGGGCAACACCAATTTAGACTTAAATGAAAGTCTGTGTCAGTACATATTTTAGTTGAATGTAGTATTTCTTTACAGGACAATGTAGTACTACATTTTTAAAACACTTTGTGCTGGTATTAAAATATGCTGAATACTGGGGGTACAAATGTTGGTCAGGGCCACACTTACTCAACACGAGTAGACATTGGGTACATGTAGCTGAACAAATAATAGATAAGGAAAGAATGAATCTGTAGTGTTTCTGTGTTTAGAGACAAAAGTGACAAGTCAAGATCGACTAGCCCAGAAAAAAGCTAGAAAATAATTATACAAAAATAATATGTCGTAGTAGAGTAACTGTTTCTTAAATTGTTTCATAAATGTAATCCCTTTAGATTGTATTGGCGATGGTGGTAGGAGGCTGCTAAGATTGTCTTCTGATTAACTGAGGAAAAGGGGAAGGTCTTAATCTGAACTCCCTCAAGTTTCTGTTCTTTCTCACACTCACCAAACTTGCTTATACTGGTACGTAATCCTTGCCTTCTTTCCCTGTAGTCACAAGGAAGATGCAGCCCTCCTTTCCAGGGTGACAAGTCTTCTTAAGCTTTTGATCCTTTTCTTCCATCCAGCTGCCCATACTCCACCTTTATCATTAGTATGTTTGTTCTCTTCCCCTTTCCTCTCTCCTTCAACCTGGGAACGTGTTCAAGCCTCTCTCTGCTACCTTTTTCCTGTACCTGAAACTGCCAAATTGTTCCTAATTTTCTAAAAACAGATCCACAAAACTGCTGGCTGTTATGTTTGAAATGTGGCTAGCTTAAGTAGAGATATTCTTACGTGTAAAATACACATTGGATTTAAAAAATAGTATTAAAAAATGTGAAACCTGGCCGGGCACTGTGTTTCATGACTATAATCCCAGCACTGTGGGAGGCCAAGGCAGGTGGATCACCTAAGGTCAAGAGTTTGAGACCAGCCTGGCCAACATGGTGAAACCCCCGTCTCTACTAAAAATACAAAAATTAACCTGGCATGGTGGCAGGTGCCTGTAATCCCAGCTACTCAGGAGGCTGAAGCAGGAGAATGACTTGAACCTGGGAGTTGCAGTGAGCCAAGATCACTGGATTCCAACCTGGGCAACAGAGTGAGACTGTCTCAAAAAAAAAAAAAAAACAAAAAAAAAAACCTCATTTTTTTATTAGCTACATGTTGAAATATTATAATATTTTGGATATATAAGTAAAGTAAATTTTAGAATTTTTTGTGGGTTTTTTTTTTTTTTAGGTGGTTAGTAGAAATTTTAAAGTTTCCTGTGTGACTTGCATCTATGACTTATGCTCTGTTTCCATTAGTGCTGCTATATAACATTAAAAGTGAATTCCTGTATCCTCGTTAGCATAGTGAGATCCCATCTCTAGGAAAGAAAAAAAATTAGCTGAATGTTGTGGTACTGACTTAGAGTCTCAGCTACTTGGAAGGTTAATGTGGAAGATGACTTGGGCCAGGGAGTTTGAGGCTACAGTGAGCCATGATTGTACCACTGCACTCTAGCCTGGGTGACAGAGTGAGACCCTGTCTGAAAAGAATAGTGAGCTCATGTTTTTACAGAGCACATTATGGAATTCTAGAAATCTCACTTACTAGACTAGCCTGCCTGTAAATATCTTAGGATAAGAATCATGTCTCACTTGTATTTGTATTCATTACACTCAAGACAGCAGTTGGCCCATTGTAGGTATCCACCCGCCAGATGTTGGTTGAGTAAATGAATGAGTATCAGATCTAATTCAGCATCAGTTTGAAAATACCTGCATTCTTTGCCTCTTTTCCAAGGAATGAATGAATGAATAGAAAAAGGAAACACTGGCCTATGGTGGATAAGTTTTAACCTCAAGAATTAATGTTTAAGAACCTACATCTGTGAATATGTCTCTATTTCAGACATATATTCTTAGATACTCAGTTTTGCAGTTGGTTAGGAAGAGGGTAAAGCATTAGAGGAATCTCAGTTGTTCCCAGCAACACCGAAGGAGGGACCTTGCTCCAGATCCTGTAAAGAGCCTGATGATTACCATTATTGTCATTAAATATTTTCTAGACTGATGCTATTCAGTGTGGTATCCACATATGGCTGTCAAAATGTAGGCACTTGAAATATGTATGAAATACACAATGGATCTTGAAGACTTAGTTTGGAAAAAGGATGTAAAATATCTCATTTATTTTCTAATTGATTACATGTTGAAATTGGGTTATATAAATACACATATATATTGGGCTAAATATTAACTGTTACTGGTTTATTTTTGCCTTTTTGGAAAAATGTTGAAACTAAGAAACTTAACATGTGGCTTGGGTCATGTTTCTGTTTGACAGCATTGTTTTAGATTATGGTAACCATATATAATGCCTGGCATAGGCAGATCCAAGAAAGTTTTTGATTCTAAGGACTTTCTGATTTTACCTAGGCTTTTTTTCTGTTAGTTTTCTAGTTTTAGAGTGCTGGTCCACGTTATATCAAAGAGACTAGAAGCTGCCTGATAGACTATCTTTATATCTGATCTATTTGAAATAATTTTTCAAGTCAGCGTTGACTGCTATGGGGTTCTAGATTTAGCCAGGCTGTTTATTCTTCACTTTGTTTCTGCAGTTGTCTGAGTACTGATCATTCTAAGCAAGAGAATAATAATGATTAGCTTAATTTTTACCAAAAATGTATATTTTTTATTGTTTAATTTTTATTTTTTTATTTTCAAAAGAAGTAAATGTGTATTTTCTTTAAATATCAAAACGAAACCCAGTATTTTAGTTCATAAACATAGTTAAAAGATTTTATTCTCAGATATTCTTTATTTTGCTTTTTTTCCTGGAGTTTTTCTGTTATAAAGCATAAGAAAAATATTCTAGGCCAGGTCTGGTGGCTCTAGCCTGTAATCTCAGCACTTTGGGAGACACACAGGAGGCTTGCTTGGGACTAGGAGTTTAAGGCCAGAATAGGCAACATAGTGAGATCCTGTGTCTACAAAAAATTTAAAAATTGGCTGGGCATAGTGGTGCCTGCTTTTAATCCCAGCTACTTGGGAGAGGGCAGTAGTATCTATCGCTTGAACACAGGAAAGGCTACAGTGAGCTATGATTGTGCCAGTGCATTCCAGCCTGGATAACAGAGTGAGACCCTGTCTCTAAAAAAACATTCTTGATTGGATATTTGTATAGGAAATACTAGGAGACTTACTTTTAAGCCAATATTTCGTTAGAAAATATATATGGGTTTTTTTGATGTTTTTTTTTTGGAGATAAGGTTTCACTTTGTCTCCCAAGCTGGAATATAGTGAATATAGTGGTGTGATCACAGCTCACTGCACCCTCAAACTCCTGGGCTCAAATGATCCTCCTGAGTAGCTAGGACTACAGGCATTGGCCACCACACCCAGCTAATTAAAAAAAAGATTTTTTTTTGTAGAGATGGGGAT